ACACTGTGATTAAGTTTGGTATTTATATACCCAGGAATGTTCCACAAATGACTGTGAGTTCCCCCAAAGTTAACTGAATAGAATGACTGTTAGGATGGGTTTGATGGAAAGATCTCTGAAGTAGACAAGAGAAGTTATTCACCTGTCATTTATACATTTTTCCTTCTCGGTTATATAGAACTGCTTTTCTGTTGTTGTTGTTGTTGTTGTTGCTGCTGCTGCTGCTGCTGTAGAGTAGCTGAAAGTATGGAGATTTCCTTTGAGGAAATGCTCACAGCTTCTGACTTTTGACAATGAATTTTCTCAGCCAATACATCAAATTAATGATGAGATCTCATCTCTTTTTTTTTTTTTTGAAACAGGTTAATGGCTTTCAGCTGGCAAACTAGACATACTGAAAGAGTTCTCACAATCTTACTCAGTTTGTAGAGGCCACAGCATAATCCATACCTGCTGATGACATGCTTGTCTCATATACTTTCAAGAAAAATAAACTTGAAAAAAATCATTACAAGAAAGAAGGAAGAAAAGGGAGGGAGTAAAGAAGAAAGAAACTACAAAAAGCAGGTAGTGGCATCTTAGAATCTCCTGGTCTCAACAAATTAACTGGTTGAATTACCATGTCTGGTGTCATATCTTAATTAAGGAAGAATTGCTATTGGCTTTATATGAATGAGAGAGGGTAAACAAATGTACGAACACTTTAAAAACACTTCTAGTGCTCTCAGATTAGAATAGAAATGATTGATGAAATATGTGACTAAAACCCATCTTTTTAAGTTAGTGTGCTTTCTCTTAAAAGAAATCCAATGCTATATTTTTTGAAATTACAAATGTTATTATTTCCAAACTCTCATATGCAGTGCCATTTATTAAAAAGCATATGCTTGCTGGGGATTATGTTCCTTGCATCAGCCGTTAACCACCAATGGATGCTTTATAATGTTAGCTTAGTCTTTGTGTTCCAGCATTGGTACCCTGTAAGTGTGTGAAGTTTGTTTTATTTTTATATGATACTTCTGTCATCAGCCTGAGAGAAACTAAATGAGACTGTTTTCTCAATGTATAGCTTTAAAATACAGCTCCTTGGGTAACACTGTAGCAGAGCAATACCATATCCTAATAGCCAACATATCCTAATGATAGAGCCTGGGTCAGGTGTCTAGAGCTTGCTTGAGGTTTGAATGTCAAAATATTTAAGCATTTAGAACTTTAGGTAAAAGAACTTTGAAACCTGTCAAAATGAGACTGCTAATGGCTCTGTAACAAAACATGCCCCGGAGCACATGGGCAAGCCAGGAGAGAGCCAAAGGCTTGATAACTGCTAGGCAGATAATTTTACTGGACACAAGCAGCAACTATAATTATATATATTATTATATATTATATTATGTCCTTTGACATAGTATATAATTATTTAGATAGACTTTGTCCCTGGTAACTGACTGAATTTTTCTGTTCACTCCCATGACATGTTTAAATTTTAATCCCCACCTGTGATGGATGCCATTTGAAGGTGGGGCTTTGAGGAGGTTACTAGGTCGCAAGTGTAGATTTCTTAATAATGGAATTAGTTCATTTACTAAAGGGTCTCTAGAGCTCACTAGCCCTCCTCCCACTACATGACAATTCAAAGATCCAGGCATCTACAACATACAAGGGGTCTCTAAGTAGAACCCAACTACTATGTTACTCCAATCTCATTTGTCCTCCAGACAAGTGAAAATTATTATTATTATTATTGTTGTTGTTGTTGTTATTGTTGTTGTTATTGTTATTATTATCCCACTAACTCTGTGGAATTTTCTTTACAGTCACCATAAATCCCTGACTCCCCTGATTTGGATATTAAACTAATTTAATAGCTGGAGATTAATTCCCGTTACCAGAGCGAGTTCAGTAAAACCCCCAAACAGCCAAAGTTTGTTCACACCAGCAATGAACATTTATCTTATACCTACTTTATATCTGGTGCTGTATTGTAGTTATAAAACGACATGTGTCCTCTTGGACTAGGTACATTGCAAATCTGCCATCACTAGCAGTTTGGCACACTGGAGTTACAAGTCTTCACACACCCTGCCAACTCTCTAAAGTGATTTTGGGAAGCTAAGAACCTAGAAAAAATGAGCAACAGTTAGAGATCTAACAGGATTACAAATAAATGGATATCTAAATTGAAGAAGAATTCAGGCAGTGTGGAAACCAGCCAGGGAGCCAACGCCAGACAGCTGAAAGATCAAACTGTTTACCTCTAAAAGAAGAGAGGAAAAGGAGAATTGAAAGGCTAAATAAAAACAGAAAATCATTCTGTCCAAAGAAAGCTAAATATATAGGTGTGTGTGTGTGTGTGTGTGTGTGTGTGGCACTTGCTAAAGGCAAAAGGTAAAGTATGCCCTGTATTTATTTTTCGTGACATCAATGAAATAACTCAAGTAAGCTTCTGATTGACTCTTAGCACACAGGAACGTGAAAGGATATATTCAGGAAAGCAAGTTTAATTTGTGCTTGCATTAGTTTATGGATACACAACTTTGGTTTGTCACATCCACACAAAGTTCTGCTTTAGAATATCTATAAAGAACATATACCATCGCTGAGAACCGAAACTCTCCACTTCAACCCCCACTGGAGGGCAGGAGGAAACAAAACTGGAAGAAAACCAAATTGGGCGTTTACAAAAAGCCTCTGAGGTGTCTGATGTGCTCCCCAGAGTTCAGACCGAAGTGTTCAGTTAGTTGTTTTCTGAGTCTCTGCAAAGGTCAGGCACATGGTTAAGTGAAAATCCAGCTCTGGAAGGTCTACTGTTTCCATGGAAGACATGAAATGGCCCCATCTCCCCAGCAGATCTATGTGGGGCTGTTGTCTGCTTCAAAGAGTAGTGAGATGTCTACAAGTCACAAAAGACTTCTCAACAGAAACCAGAATCCTGAAATGGGGACATGAATCAGAAAGAAGGAAGGGGTTAGCTGTAGTAGTGACCAATATTTCAAAGATCTCAGTATATCTGGGGAGGGAATTCTCTCTCTCTCTCTCTCTCTTTGTTTTCCCTGTATAAATCTGTTTTCGTTGCACTGAAGAAATACTTCTAAGCATCAGCTGATGTTGAAACTTAGAACTCACAAAGGGATCTTTCGGCCTGATTGCAAATGGCAGTGAGGAGAAGAAAGACTCATAGCTGTCAGTGGTCCAGGGTCCAGGCCACAGTAAGAGGTGAGATGACCACTGTGGATGTTGTGTCACTCCTTCTGGCAGAGGCACCTCAAGAAAAGACAGGGCTCTGGGGCCCAAGAGGGAGGGTTAGTGGGTGGATGGGTTGGTGGGTATATAGTAGTTCCACAGTATCAATATGCTTTGAACCTGAAGGAGATTAGACTAGAGGCAGAGCCAGCAATGGCTGCGGGCTTGCCAGCAGCTTCATCCCCCAAGGGTGATTCCTTTCTTGAAATTTCAGGGTCAAAGAACAAAGAGAAAGGAACAGAGAGGAGAAAGTTCAGGTTCCCGTCCTGGAAGGAACACTGGGAGGATTCCCTGTCTTCTGTGGTGTTGAAGGGAGGCCAAGGTTCTGGACAGGAACCTTGTTTGGAATCCCCCTTCCTTTTCAGGCCTCAATTTAGTAGCCTTCTGGCCACACAGGCTCTCTGCCAACATCATTCCCAGCCATGGCTGGAAAATGTCCCTGCCTCTTTTAGTTGCCTACCTTTAGTTTGGGGTATTTCGCTAGTGACCTGATGCTCACGGGTACCCATTTCTGACCCTTTGTTTTACATTGAGTGAACATCTCTACTCAGTCTCCCTAACACTAGCCGCTTGTCCTCTTACCCTCACCAGCCTGAGCAAGCATCTCCTTGTCAGTTCCTCCCTCAAATCCTTGAACCACAGAGACAGGTTGCTTGTCAAATCAAATCACGTGTTAGTCAAGACACCAGCTTATCTGCCCATGCGTGCCCACTTTCTTACATGGCCTATTCCCTTTCCTGTATAGGAAAAGCGCTGTTTGGGGGCTGCCATTAAAATGCTTATGTATTTGTGAGATCCTTCTTTTCCTCATTACAATGTCCTTTTTCTAATTAAAATCTCTCCGTTCCTATGTAAGTCAGATTGATTTGCAGTTCACATTAGCAAGTAGCTAGGGGGAATCTTAGGAGAGTCTGAGACTTATTAATGGGAGAAGGAGGCCCGGGGGCCAGGTGGCTTTTGTCCAGTCAAACCGGGAAAACCAAGGATGCAGGTGATACAGAACTCCTACTTGGACTTCAACTTTTTAAAGTGGGATAGGTTTCACACCAAGGAGGTTGGAAGCTCTGGCTAGGCAAACTAATTCCAAGTTTAAAAAAATAGCACCCACCGTGCTCCCAGTTAGGGTGAAGAGGGTGTGCTTCCTTGTGTGTGGGGAGGTAATGCAAGAGAGGAGGGGAGGGGGCAGAAGTAAAGGGTAGATAGAGGGGGAACCTGTAGCAACCATGCTTCTGAGTATCAACAAAGGTGGGAGATAAGGATGAAGGTGGTCTTGTCCCCGTAGCCGGAGGTCCCTGCGCGGTGGCAGCGGTGGCCAGAGCAGCAGCAGCAGAAGCAGCGAGCGGGACGGAGTTAGGACCGCTCGGAGCGCCCAGGTCTCGAGGTAGTGTAAGGTTTTTTGCAATCCTTCCACTCGCTGGCAGTTGCAGAAGATCTCCTTTTAAGTGAGAACGCGCCACCCCTCCGAGGGCTGCGGCTTCCCGGGGCTGTTCCGTCGCTCGTCGCTTTGCCGGCCCCTGGCGCTCACTCTCTAATTCGTCCGCGCCCCTAAGTTTGCGAGAGCTGGCTGCGGGCTGGGAGCAGGGTCCGGGCCGGGAGCCGCGGGCGGGGGCTGGGAAGCCGCGAACCACAATCCAGAAGCATCTTGGGGCCATGTATATTTCATCAAACGGACTTTGGGTGCGTCGCGTCTCGCAGCCATCAACGCTATGTTCAGTGACATTTCTGACTTGAGTGGAGGAATGCGCGAAGAAAACCGGGGCGAAATTGCTTCGAGAGGATCTTCTTGGCGCCAAGGCTAATTGTCCTGATTTATGTCGCTTCTGACAAAAAAGAAAAAAAAAGAAGACCTAACGTCTTCATCTGAAATAAAATGAAAGCGGTGCCAAGCGGGATAGAGCCGCCTGGCCGCTGGTTCTGATCCCCTGGGATCCGGGGGGGGGAAAAATCGTTCTGCGGCTTAAAAGAAAAGAAAGGAATAGAAACAGAGAAGAGAGAGAGAGAAAGAAAAAAAATCCTACAGTAAAAGTTTAAGGCGAGAAGTGGCGGCAGCGGCGGCGGCGCGGGGAGCCTGCGAGCGGAGAAGGCTGCCGACCTCGGAAGGCGGCGATTTGGTTCCTAATCCCACTGTATTTTTGGAGGGAGAGGCACCTTTCTCATCCTCCCTTCCTCTCCGCCCACCCCCTCCCTCCCCCTCATCTACCTGTCAAAGTCACTGATCTTTTGCATTTTGGAAGAGGACGTCAACGGGAAGGAATTCCCCCCCGTCAGGGTCCGGGCTCCGAGAGGGGGCGACGCGCGACGAGGCTGCCCCAGGGGCAAGAGACCAAGGTAACTGGGGCGGGGGCTCTGGGCGCCGGGTGTTGTGGGGTCTGGGGCCCTGGACTCCTCCTTCCCGCCGCCAACAGGGCGCTTGCAAGGCGGGATACCCCGGGGCTACCGTGGCAGCGGCTCAGGTCCACACCCGCCGCGTTCCTATTCTACCCGCGCCCCGTGCGCCGCCAGCGGGTCCCCGAAGCTGCGGTCGCCGCCCCATGCGGGACCAAGCTGGGCAGGGCCGCCGCCCCGCGCCGACGGCTGCGCTCCCGCCCCGCGGAGGGTCAGCGGGGGGCCCGGGTAAGTGCAGCTCGCTCCACTCTCCTCCAGCGACCCGCGCCTCTCTGGGTGGCAATTCTCCATCAGTCCCCTCCCTCCAGTTATCACTCCCTCCCTCTGCCAACCCCCGATGCCCACCGAGGGCGGGAGGGGAGATCCGGGTGGGCGAGGAACTTTGGAAAGAGCCTTAAGGAGGTAGCAGGGAGCCTGTGCGCACTCCCGAGCTCTCGCAGCTCACACCTACACCGCATCCCAGGCGTGCGCCCAGCACCGGGTCGCTGGCTGTTGCATCCTGAGCCCTGAGCCTCCATCCACCCACCCACCCGCAACGCGCCGCTCTCTAAGTCTCCCACACACACCTGACCACACGCATCGCACAAGCTTTTGTTTTTTCTTTCTTTCTTTTTTTTAATTTAAATTTTCTTTTTCCAGTTTTCTCATCTGGGGGAAAAATAAATAAAAACTTGCCTTGTTGCTCGCCCTGTGGAGAGCTTTGAAGTCCCTTTTTAAATCTCCTTTATTGGTGCGAGATTAAAGCATTACTACCACACATCGTGCAGCTGGGGAGAGAAGAACGTGGAAGGAGGGAAAGACTCCGCGTTGGAAAGCTGGTGGGAGCTTTTTCTCCCATACTGATTTCACATTATCAGTTGATAGATTCGACTAGGGACATCGAGTTTCTCTCTGCTATGGATCTGTGGATATCTATATATAATGCAAATAATACCGAATATTATTGGGCCCAAAATAACCAATTAAGTGATTCATAGGAGAGAAACTTAGATTTAAAAAAAGAAACTGCGCCCTCTGCTGTTTGTTTTGGTAACCTCATCCAGGGACCTCGGCGCCCCCTCCCCCCCACCACTATCTCCTGATATTCCCTAAGAGTAGCTGTCTATGTAAGGGCATGGAGTGAAGACCCTTGGGGATGGGGGTGGGGGGAGTGGTGTTGTGTATGGCAGATTTTAAAGCAACTTTATTTGAGAAGGTGTCAGGCAGACAGAGTCCCTACCGTTGTGCCAGGTGTAGACTTTTAGATACTAGGTCCTCTAGCTGTCTCTTTTGAGCCCATTTCCTTACCTAAGGAATAATCAAGCAACTTATCACTCTTCGCAGTGGAAAATTCTGAGCAAGACTCAGAATTCCACTAAACATATGGTGAATCTGGCAGCCGCTTTGCTCTGGAAATCAGGCCTCGTTTGATGACTGAAAATACTAAAAGTTTTCCTATCTTAACAGAAAAAAAAAGGAAAGACATTTCCCTCAAAATCATTTGTTCAAATATGCATAGTGATTAAGCTTGCTAGAAAGTTTTCTTCTCGATGTTTGATGAGGGCAAGGATTTTCTGAGTTGTGTGGTTCTTGACGAGTAAAGTACCTCTAACCAGCCAGGCGGTCTGCAAGCAGTTTGTACTTTGTCTCTTTCAATGCCCTGCCCACCAGCTTTTCTCTTTGGCAGAGGGAAATCGGCTCAACAACTGTCCAAGACTATTTTTAAACATAAGAAACTCTCAGTCTTTCATTAATACCTGAATACTTGCAAGGGAATCAGGGTGCAAAGAAGAAATACATCAGACAAGTTTCATGCCATGCTGTTCCACTTAACAAGGGGGATGCTTGCCCTTCTAGATACCATCCACCACATAAGATATCTTTCATCACTAAAAACTAACATGAGAGCATGAAGTATTTTTTTGTATTTGGCTTTTAATGTATTGGCATTTCTCGTAGTTTGTATTTAAGGGGAATCATCATACTTATTTTTAAAAGGAATTATTTTGTTTGCACATATGACTGTGCTCCTATTAAAGTTTTGTTTTGTCTTCTTTCACTGGGCATGGGTTCAAATGATTCAGGCTAATATTCTGCTTTGTCTTGTTTTATGTTTGTGCTTTTTTTAAATTTTGTTTTAGGAGGCAACTAATGCACGTTGAAGTTTCCTTTGTCTATCAACCATTGGGAGGAAATCTTTCTCAGTTCCCCTTATTATTCTGCAAACCACCAGACAGTGTGCCTAAACAATTAAACCAGTGTGCACTTAGCTGGTAGCTACTGTAGGTAAGGATTTGAAGAGCATTTCTGAGTGACAGAAGCCTCAAGTCACTGGGAAGGAAATAAAATCTCATGCGACTTAGGAAAGCAAGGATATGTTAGTACTGAAAAGTGCACGTGTGTGTGTGTGTGTGTGTGTGTGTGTGTGAACTCTGTTGTTTTATAGGGAAGTAAGTGGTTTATCATATTTTCAGAAAGTGTTTTTAATTTTAGAATCTGGAGTTCTGTTTCAAACTTCAAGTGGGTGTAGAATTTTTCATCTGTGATGTGGAAGCTTGTATTTCTGAACTTCCCTATATTAGAAGGAAAGATCTATCGTTCACATGACAGTGGAATGCCAGGCTTCTTTTAGGTTTAGTGGATTCTGAAGTAATTTTTACATATTGCCCCTCTGCAAACATCCTAGAAAATATGTACTGACTTCCATCATTGATCTTCTATTGATAAAAATAGACATCTTTAAAATACTAACGTGTGGTGCTTGTTTCTCTAAACTCCCATGATTTTTAAAGTAATGCCCAGTCATACTTGCTTATGAGTAAGATCTGTCAAAATTCTTGAATTACATTATGTTTTTGAGATGGTTATAAAAAAGACAGGAGCCTCTGTTTCTCATGAAGAAACCCAAAGATCCTATTTTCACAACAGACGGGCATGTGCAAAGAACACTGAAGGAATGCAAATGAATCTCATGTGACCTCACTGTGGCTGTTCACAGCTGCTAATCTTGACAGGTTATGGGGCTTTGTATGTTGCTTCCTCTGTATTTCCTTTAGTCAATGAAATGTGATTATTTTCAATTTTTCTTCTGTTCATATCCATTCAGAAACATGTAATTCTATAAAAGTCTTAATGCCTGTAAAGAATGAGTCAATAGCTGTCTATTTCAGGTGCCCCGATGAGCTGTATATTTATGGAATATTTAGCCTATTACCATACCCCCACTTCCTAGTGAGATTATATAATAAAAAGAATCCTAAACTCCAGCAAGAGTTGGTAGATTTTCTGACAATATTTTCCTCTCAGATGATGAAATTAGCAATTGTTTTGGGACTATGATGGCTTATCGTTTTAAGTTTTACTAGTTTTGTATAATATTTTGGAGACACTGTTTTCTTTTTTGGATGAGGGGAAGGGTTTGTGAAATCTCCTCTGCAAAGTTAATCCAAGGTGAGAAGGAATCAGCTACACAATCCTGGGAACATGTATGTTCCATGGATGCAAAGCCATTGGGTAGCCTATTTTTACCCCTAATCAATAATACCTATCAACCTGAGATTCATTATGTAATTTTGCATTTTTTATTAGGTCTGCAAATTCATACACCAGAGTTCCATGGACTCTTAGCATATTAATGGGAATTTTTTTTTAATCAAAAAGGACTTCTTGCTATTTCATTTCTTATGTAGATGGTGGCAGTCTTTGATTGTTCTGTGATCCCAAGGTGGGAAAAATGCAGATTTGGAGCTTGAGTTTCTCAGAACCCTTTTGAAGTTGCCCTTATCCTAGTGACATGGGCACTTGAGACAAATTCACAATAGTTTAGAATTAGTTCAGTTATATGCCAGAAGGGATGCGTTTAAGATGTTAAGTCCCCAAACATGTCATTGGCTGTCCTTCACCTAATCAGTTTGTCTAGCCATTTGCAATCATGGCCTAGCTTTTAAGAAGATATTGATATTCTTAATCTGGTTGAGAGGACAGACAGCTGGAAACCAGCAGCATTTAAGTAGTGAAGGTGGTGATGTAAATGATATTCTCTTTGTACAACATTTATTTTCTTTGAAAAATCCCATAATTACACTTTTGTAACAAATCCCTGATTCTCATATGGCGTCTTTGTCACTAAAGTTCATAGATTTAGTTTCTTCGAATACGAAAGGTGAAGGATTTATTAGGTAGCCTGGGTGATAATGAGAAGTAAGGAGACTTCCATATGAAGGGCCCAGAAGAGGGGATGCTACTTCAATGTTAAAAGGAAAAACGTAATTATGCTAAAGAATAGCTTATGACCATACACTGATTTGCATTATGCTGTGGTCAATATCTTTTTCTGTGTCAATGGGAGCTCATTAAATGTAAATTTGCAGACCAACTGGGCCACGCCATATTAGTGCTTGCCAAAGCTTGACATTTTTAATACATTAATAATATGTCTGTAATATAATGGAAAACTATTAATCACAACTGGTTAAGTGCCAGAAATTTAAGCTGTAATTGGCTGCTTCTTGTCAAGAATATCTGTCGCACAGTCCTGCAACTGCCTCATATTCAAATATCTTGCACCTCTCTGCATTTTCCCCTGTCAATCCTCTAACTTCGATCAATGATGTAGTCCATAATTCTGTGTAATGGCCGTCATTACAGTTCTGGTAGACTTTAATGAGAATCCCTTGCATTGGAAGTGCTGTTCTCTTTCAGGAGTTGATAACAGTGACATGCATTTCCGTAGCATTTCCTTCTTGTCCACAGGTTTAATGTAGAAATATACAGATGATGTCACTGGGGTAAAAGAGGCAATAGGACAGAGTAACAAAGAATGGGTGGATGAGGGAACAGTATTGGTTTAAAAAGGTAAAGACTAATCTTAACTAAATATTCACTCAACTCAAACTCAAACCCATTGGGTCCAAGTCTTTTAGATTATATTGTTCCTGGCATACAAATTGCTGGCTTTTGGAATTAAAAAGGTGATGTTGATAATTTTGGAACTAGTAGATTTTGGACAACCTCACCTCTAATGCTCTTTGTCTTTGCTTTCCAAAGTGTCTGCTTCCTATGATAGGGATGTAGTAAACATAGTTGAAAAAGAAAGCGAATCTAGGAAATGTACATTTCCTTCATCTTAACACCTTTTCAGTATATTAATCGTAAATGTGTTGGATGTTTCTGAAAATATTAGCTTAATGAATTTGAAAACAAACAAACAAAAGCAGCAAGGCTTCAGCAGACACAACACATGCCTCTGTAAAGGTTTTTTTTTTTTCCTTTTTAGCTTAAGATTTCAAAATGCATGCCACTGAACAGTGTCAAAGTCACAAAGAAGAAGCAAATTTAAATCTGTAGTTTATACATGTTTAGACATACTGCTAATTATTGCTTCATGGGAACTCAAATATTCAACACTTTTCCTAATAGAAAATATCACAAATTGCAGCTGTATGATAACATTTTATGAATCGAATATAATGAAAATTGCACTTGCATCCATAAAGCAATTATTATAAATTACTTTGCTATGGAAACACAATTCAACCATCTGTTGGCATTTCATAGTTTCTGTGGCTTAGTTCATTTTAAGATAGTGCATTATTTAAATATAGTGAATTCCCTTTATAAGATTGCTTGAAGATAGAGAACTTCTTCCTTATTTAAACTGTTTAATATGAATTGAAGAGTCTATAATGGATTTTTCTAAAGCTGTAGGCTTTTTATTTTGTCACTTTAAAACTGAAAAGTATCTAATAATTTGAGCTAGGAAGATGAGCCAATAACTAAGAAAGTATCCTTTCACACCTGGGATTCAAATACTAATATTTATTAAGATTTGGACAGTTAAATAGTTGCCAGTAGAACTCATTATTGACTTGTATCTGTAAGTTACATAGGCTGCTTCTCAGTTACCCAAAGTATTTTGGAATGGAAATTTAATTTTCTCTTAGAATTAGTGCCCTGTTATTGTGCTTCATGGCCTGTTAACTTATCCTCGGCTATTTTTATATGTGCATTTTAAATTGTATGCTTTACTATGGAGCTTTCGATTTTAAGCAAGCCTATAAAACTCACCTTTGGGATAAATTCTCTTCTGTTACCAAAAGTAACTGCAAATGCAGATGTGATGGCTATAAAAAAAGATGTAAGAAAATAGAAGAAAGGAATATTTGCCCCTTTGGTTTTATTTTTTGAGTATTTTCTGAGAGGCTAATTATCTTTTTCAATAAATACAACCAAAGAAAGATGTTAAATTCTTCCAGTGTAATGCACAAATACTGAGGCAAAAGATCAGTTTCCACTTACCCACCTCTAACCAAAGCTAACAAGGAACTTGGAGAATTTTAGGGTCTCTTTGCCAAGAGACAAAGGCATACACATAGTTGTCATCCTCATTATAAAGATTCTCATTATCCTGTTGTTCTCTTGAAAGATTTTTAGCTAGCTCTGAGAGAGCTGTGTAAATCCAGAAGCTTGCTTCTCCCGATAGCTCACCTAGAACACATTCATCTGCCTTTCTTATGAAAGACTTAGATCGTTCCCATCAAAATGCTTCCCAGTGTGTATGGGTACCCTGCTCATCCTAGCAAGGCTTCTAACAGAAAGTTTATCCTTTCTTATACCAGTTTGCTTTATATCGTGCTGAGCCTCCAAAATGTCAACATACTATACATTTCCTAGTATGCATTGATTCTAGGGCAGTAACTCTTACTTTTATTGTTTTCAAAAGGTTGCTGGTGCCAGAAGGGGAAGGAGAAAAGATTGATGGGAAACAGACACGGGACCACAGACATTCATCCCTTTGCTTGTGATACTGATACTTCAGCGCATCTGAGTAGCCCTGATGAACCCTGAACGCCGAGGATCACTCAGGATTATCGGATGTACAACAGGAGAGCCATCACTTTGCTAAATTATTATCTGCTCCTGGACATCTTTCACAAAAGTCTAATAGATATGTTCTACGAGGAGAAAAGGCTGCAAGCTGCTAATGCCTAACAGATAAGCATGTTAGGCTTCTACCAAAGTCCTCAGCATCCCTGACCACGTACAATATTTCAATCTGTCACATTTGGTTTGGAATCTGCTTGGAGATCTCAGCCTATTTTTTAAGTATATATATACAGACCTACCTACATAAAGATACATATAGATGCACACACATATGTATAATATACTCATGTATATTTAAAAGAGACACTGATTGCATATAAGACACGAAGATTGCCAAGATTTTAGAGATGTATTTGTCAAGATTCCTGTCGATCCATGCCCTGTGGGTTACAGTGTCCTCTGTGATGCAGCCCTACCTTTTAGTGTGGGGACATTATGATGTATGTAAGAGTCTGATTTACACAGAAGAAGGGAAAGTTTGGGATTACACGGCCTGCCAGCCAGAATCCACGGACATGACAAAGTATCTGAAAGTGAAACTGGATCCTCCGGATATTACCTGTGGAGACCCTCCAGAGTCGTTCTGTGCAATGGTGAGGCAGTGATTTTGAGCAGGATATTTCACACAAATGGCATTATATCTCATGGGCAAACAGGTGTGGTGATTGTGAAGGCTTGGTTTGCCAGAGCCAAATCTGCAGGTAGCAGATTTGTTGCTGAGTGCCTACCTTCATTCTTAGTGGAGGCTTGTCCTAACTGGGTTGTGACACACAAGACGTGATTGACAGATGGGAACTTCTTGCTTTCCACAAAGCCAAAAGTTTCAGTAGGGCAAATCAAAAAGCCAAATTAATGGTTAAATATTAGAATAGAAACTAGAATGTTTGGTCAGCTGGGTTATGTTTTTATTTGTTTGATTTTTCTTTTTCTTTATTTTTATATGAGTCAGGGTTTCTCTCTGTTGACCTGGCTGACCTGGAACTCACTCTGTAAACCAAGCTAGACCCAAACTCAGAGATCCACCTGTCTCTGCCTTACCAGTATTGAGATTAAAGGTGTGTGCCACCAGGCCTTGGTGAAGTTAGTTATGTTAAAGACGAAAATCCATTGGTAAATCAACTTTAAGAAGACAAAGTTTTATTCTTAAACATAAATAAAGCCAGACCCAAATTCTATAGTTCAAGATTAGCTGAGATCTTCTGTTTCCTTTATCATGTAGCATCTCTGATAGGGTGCCTCAGGTAAAGGACCAGCAAGAAGAAAAACAAAAGGAAGGACAGTAGACTTATTATGGGACTTATTCAGAAAGCTTATTTACCAAATGAAATGTTAGAAACATATTTGCTGAAAACTAATGGCTTGGGGGCATGTAAGTTTAGACAATAATAAGAGTTATAACATTCTTTATTCTTGGGGTCTATTTAAAGCCGTTTCCACGTGGAAAGTATAGTAGGAGAAAAGTGGGATTGGAGGAGCACATTGTATTTCCATACAATCACAGCAGAAAATATACCTGTAAAGTGTTATTAAAGAGATGAGTGATTAATAAGGCATCAGTTAATGCTGTAAGGAATAGAGTCAGTGTGTTCATTTAGTTTATGATGTTGGTTTTTATTATAGGAAGTCTTTATTTGATATAAGAACCATGACCCCATTTTTCTCCTCATAACAGATATAACCATGTAGCCGATTTTAATAGTATCTTACCTGACTTTATTATCTTGAACCTGGCCTGGCATTTTCAGGCTCGTGAAACTATTAATCAAAGGAGCATCTGCTCACAGTCCCCAGTGAGTTAAATTAACATAAGATTGTCTCATACAGAGCACTATAGAAAGGGTTTTGTAACAGGAAACAATTTTGAGCAATAAAGAGCGTTTTCACCTAAAAGCGAAGGGCTTGCCATTTTTCAGAAGTGCCTTTGGGGACTGCTTTGAATTATAGTCTAAACCTGATTTTGTGGAGAGTGAGAAAAAGATCTTGGCTATTAGGTGTCACTCTGATGAAAGTGCCCTAAATGGGTAAATATTTCAAAGAGAGGACCCGTCTCTCTGGGTAACAGGTATGTAGTTCTGAAAGAAGTTGCATTTTAGAACCTGTGGGCTTCCAGTAGAGTTTATTCAAACGTATCAGTAGAATTCCAATAAATCTGTAAAAGAGCAGGGACATTTGTTGCCGTTATATAAGGTCTTCAGTTATTTCTTATGAAAGGTCAGATTTAAAATCTCATTGCAAATGCGGTGTGAAATTAGTGTTTGGTTGTAGGTTACACCAACTTCTGTTCCTTACAGCAGAGCATGCATGCGTTCTGGGTCAGCTTTTCCTATCAAGCGCACTCTAGCTCTAGTAATCAGTTTCTATGACGTGCAGAATAATATGCCTCTTCTGGAACTGCTTAGTAATTTGCCTATTTAAGTGAAATAGCGAATGTCCTTTGCCAGGGTGTGGGTTCTACTCACACAGGTGCTGTAGGGTGGGTTTGAGGTATGGTTTGTATGTATGTACTGCTTCCATGAACTCAGCTTTGGTCAGAGAACACTTGCTCAGCATCTCTCATGCCCAACATATGAAGACCCTCATTTTCAATATATGTATTTTCTCCCTAAAGAAGCAGGAAAGAGCACATTATGGGACTTCCCAGATCAGTCTTTCACAGGGACATGGTCTAAGGCTCTTAAGTGAGCCTAGTCCTATTAATCCAGTGGTTAAATGATGATATCGTGAGGAGAGAGAATTAAAGAATATTCATAGGTTGACTCTAAGTACAATTATGTTATAGATATGTGTTCATAGAAAGCCCCACCCAGGCTGTACTGTGTTACAATGGAGGCACTCAGAAGCCTTGGTAGACTTAAATATGTCACTGGGCTGGGTGCAAGATTTCTGAGTTACCTACCAGTCATTAATTTGTATTCCTTAATGTGCATATGATTGGCATAACAGATTTAACAATCTCCTTTAAGTGTGAACTTTGGGACTACTGGTATACATTTTATATGCCAAGTCCATGATAATGACCTAATACAGCAAAACCTATCCTCTGCAGTTGTGGATTTTCTATAAAACACCTTAGTGTGAGAGTTCTTGACACAGGCTGTAAAAAAGCATCTCAGGATGCTGTCATATCAGGCCTGTTGAGGAGCTCCTTAGCCCAAAGTCTAATGGGAATCCATAAAGTCACTTATGTTAGGACTTGCAGGTCCTACGCTCACTGACACTTCCAGTTCAGCTCCTCCAGAGTCATTATGGCCTATTACATCACTGGAGACTGGAGCTGCCAAATAGACACAAGCACTACTTAGCCCCTATATGTAAATGTTTGCTGTAAAATGGCTTTGCCTCCTCAGCCAGCGACACCCTTATTAGCAGTGACTCCAGGGATTCTGGACACCGAGAATACATTCAGCCCTGGAAGTGTTCTGTAATTCCCAGAGAATGCTATTAACATACAGTGGAAGTTCATTGGGATTTCATGGAAAATCTGTGGAGGAAAATGCTCTCTGCATTTGCTCTATCAGTATATGCCTGTGACCACCCATGAATTTTGCATCTATTTTAATATGGAGTTAATTTTGAGAGAGGTGGAAACAGCTTATGTTTCTATTTAATACTAGATCTCTGCTTACTAACCTGGATGTCCTATCTAATAAATCTTTTATGCCAAGTAATCTAAAATGCTTGTGTATTAGTTGGGTAAACACTTATGAGCAATAGTGTAATGGAAAAAAATTTGTCTGTGATAGTGTCATTCAAGACTATATATGAATATAGGGTATATGTGTGTGAATATCATCTACATATATGCATGCATGTGAATTGTATTTTGAAAATGATTTGTTTTCTTTTTAATTTATTATATTCCTTTTAAGTTGACAATGGCAAAAACAAAACAAAACAAAGAAAAAAAAACAAAAAACAAGCAAACAAACCAAAACAAAACCCCAAGTACCGGTTTTTTGTTTTTGTTTTTGTTTTTTTTTTTGCTAACAGGGAGGAACCTGGAAGGCACAGGTTTTGCTTTTACAACAGAGGCAACCTCTTTGCTTCCATCCTGTCCTTTCAACCACAATACACGCTTCAGGTAGCATGCCTCTGTCAGACGACACAGGTCGTCTGGTGACAATGATTTCATTTGCATAAGGAGCAGATAGGATCATCTGATCCTGCCTGTGTAAAGCCGAAGCGACAACACAGAGCTGTGACTTGGTCTTTGTGTTTAGATAAACATAGCTGTCATGTCCCCCAGGCAACACCCCAGTGGCTTAAAAAAATGGAAAAATTATCTGCAATTATCTCCAGCTTGCAGCCAATTTTCTGTATAACTTAAACAGAAGCACTGAGAGGAAGCCTACAGATGAAAGGTACAGTGTACATTTGAACAATTTACGGGGCAGAAGTGCTGACGGCTGTGGAAATGGGAGCCCCCAAGTGCTGCCGTGGATTCCAGAGCCAATCAAAGCTAAATGAGAAAACAAAGATTATTAAAAACTCTTTTGTGCATGTAATTTTGGCATAATGTTATGAGGTGGACATTAAACGTTTACCACCGAGACTTGCGGCATCATTAATGCAGCATGCCCTTAATTACAAATACACTCGTATGACTAAAAAATGGGGAAAATAAAGCCCTCTGAGGTGTACTTAGCGACACCCTCATTATGTTTACTGGAATAATTAAAAGAAAGGGCATAATTTTTCTAAATAAAATGTCAGACCTTGAAATGGAAATGGATTTTTCTTGGGAAAATTTGCCAATGTGTGCCTGCGTTCTCAGTAGGCATTCATTCAAGGACCCTAGCAGGTCTGTTAATGATCATTCCGTATTGTGTGATTTCCAGATAGACTTCTATTAAGAAGAAAATAATTATTGTAAGCAATGTGGATAGAGCATATTTCATTAGAGTCAAGGAAAATTTATGAAAGTAATAGGAAACTTTTGTTTTCTGTTTTCAAAGGAACCAGTGGGGCAAGCAGTTGGCAAAACAGTGTCTTCAGGGCTATCCTTAGCTTAAGCTTCTGATTTGACAGCATCTCAGGTTCCCATCTGGTGGCTGTCAGGTGGCCTCTGAGGGAGTAATTCGATAAACTCGATTACATTTTTTTCAGTGCAAAGGGATTAATATCAATTTCCAAAATCTTGTCTTGTCATAATTCGATAGATAAGTCAATAAAGTTTTAATAATAGTGACATCTTTCATTTGAACTGATTTAACCCTTAAATTATGGCAGAATGGAGGTATTTTTTTAAACATTTTTAAAATTAACACTTCTTGGTTATTAGTTCATTATTTAGACTTACTTCTCTGGGATGCCTAATTCATGTTGAAATGATTAAGTCCCACAGATATCAGTGTTTCTGAGATATCACTTCATTAAGTGACCTCCCAGTGGCCCCTTTTTATGTAAGGCATCAAATCTAACGAATTCTACCTGCTTTATCACTCTTCCCACTATGTCCTTATAGCATCTTCAGTGGACTTAAGCCTAGCAGCCTGATAGAAAAGGAACTTCTGCATTTGAGTTGAAACTGCATTGTTTTGGTATAACAGCCAGAGTTTATGGGGATGGAGTAGGTCATGAGAAGGAGACTGTG